TGGTCAATGGAAGAAAACTTTTATTAGAGGAATCTTCTGGATGTCAGAGGCATTTATATTTTGGCCTTCATAAATGAGGGCTAAGCAACACTGTTCTGTGGTCTGTTGAGGCAGATGAGTCTACACCCAATCAAGTCCCAAAACTGCACTTCAGGCATTTGCCTAAAACACCATCTTAAACTCTCTGTTGTCACCTAGTGGTTGTCACAAGCTAAGCTGCTTTTATATATCCTTATAAGAATACATAAAATAAAGAAATGTAAATATCTTCCAGTCACCTTTCAAACTTTACTAGAAAACAAACTAAAACATTTAAAATAGAAAACCTTCCCCAAAACTGTAAATATTTGGTGCTAATGAGGACAGTGAAGAAAAGAGTTAAGGGCTGTATCCAGAGCAAGGAGTACTGAATAATGCATGAAATGATAAATCCCAGGTCAGAGCCAGAAGACAGCTTTTCACAGCTTGCTGAAAAATTCACTTGAAACATAGTACCAAAAAAAAAGTCTTTTTTTCTTGATTAGCCTTAGAAGAAGGAAAAGCCAAAGAGTCTTCAGAAACCATATTATAGGAAATAGGAAAATGTTCTTTTAGCATTAAGTTTTTCAATCTTTTTTCATCCCCTTTTCATTTCAAACACTTGCTCACTCTGCCTCCTGAAAATATACCTGGCTTTTCTGAGCGTAGAGATACTGCCTTCTCAAGTTTCTGTAAAAGAAAATTGCTTAGCAGGGGTTCTGTGAACCCACATATCGTGGGAATGCTAGATGTTCTTTTAGATCTGCCCCCCATCACCATATACTAAGTCAAACACATCCAAGGTTCCTGAAGGAAGTTCCTTCTTGTAAATAAACCTTCATCGTTTGTGCCTACTTCAGCTCTTTTTCCTTTATGATCCACATTGACTTAACTAAAAGCTGTACTCTTTCCTTTCTCTTTCCTTCCTTCCTTTCCCTTCCCTTTCTCTTTCTCTCCCTCTTTCCTTTTTCTCTTTCCTTCTTCCCTTCCTTCCTCTCTCCCTCTCTCCCTCTTCCCCTCCCTTCCTTTCTGTTTCCTTCCTTCCTTCCTTTCCTTCCTTTCCTTCCTTTTTTTTTTCTTTTTCTTTCCTCTCTCTCAAATAGTTTCAGCTTCGAATAAATTACATTGCATGAATGGCTTGCCAGTGAGGTGGGGCTATGTGAGTGGTCTGCCTTGGGTGTAGGCAACAAGAGGACATTCTTCCAAATGTCTGTGAGAATTTAAGGCAATAATAAAGACAACTAAAAGCTGGTCTTTTTATAATCACCATATACTGGTGATTCTAAACAATGTCAGTGATAAAAAACAAAATACACCATTCTAAAGGGACAGGCCTCTTCACCCCGAACCCCAACTTGGTGCAACTGTGTTTCTTTGTTAATAAACAAGGGAACCTTTTATAATTTTCCTTTGGATTATTATAGTAGTCTTTGGCCATATGACTCTCAAATGTGGGGAGAGACCACCGTAGAAAAAAGTGGGAGATTTGGTAAAAGTGAACAAAACCATTATGTTCTCATCTCAGACTAACAGTATTTATTAAATGAAAATAGTATTTATTTTCATTTCTGGTGACAGAGTGTGACCCTGTTCCTCTTTCATGTTTCAAGTCTTCAGTGCTACAGGAATTCTATAAATACTACAATCAATTAATGAGAGACCCAGGTTATAAGAGGAAGAAGTATCTAATAATTCCACTAAGCCAGAAGGGAAATGGCTGAAATAAAACCAAAACTCAGATCTTTATTGTCTATCCTATCCTCAAGGGACTATAACAGTCATTTCACAAATCAGTACTCATAATTTCCTGAGAATTTTCTGCCTTTGGAGGTATGGTTTACTTTTAATTTTTTAAAACCTTGAAATGAAAAGTGGAATTCCTATAAAAATGAAGCTATGGTATTCAAAAGGCATTATCCCTTAGCTTGGGCTACTTTGATCCCTCAAGCTACCCTGGGTCAGCTCCTTTCAAAGCCAGATTCTTTAGCTTTCCCGTCAATAGGTGACATTCCCCCTATCCTTCCAATGAATCCCCTTTTTGCTTAATTTAGCCATAATCCAGTTCTGTTCAGCCAAATCCATTTGGTTCTGTGCAGCCATAACCCATTTTGTTTACAACCAAAACACCCTACTTGACATATTTGCCTACATTCAAATTATACTTAGTTCCTATAACTTTACCATCTTAAAGTTACTAAACGTTAAACCATCTTACAGATGAGAAAACTAATTCTCAGATGTTAATTTATTCTTTGTTGTATAAATAAGTAATGGCAGAATTGAAGTTCCAATTTGGATTTGTCAGGATTTATGTCTTTCCTCTCTATCACGTCACCACAAAAGTTAGACATCTCTCCTTCAGGGCCACATGTTTCTTGACTCTAGAAGACCACCTAGAGTCAAAACCACCCTTTGCAGCTTCATTCACTAGAACCATCCACCCATTCATTCATTAATTCAACAAATATCTCAATACATAATATGAGAAAAATACAGCACTAAATCTGGGGAGCGTAAAGCTGGTTCAGCTCGTCCTTCCTTCAGGTTGTTCACATTTCTATGGGATGCTGATTGTTCAGTTTATAGATGTAAACAATGTTGGGATCAGTTAAATTTAAGCAATATAGAATAATATAATAGTAAAGCCATCTGGTTCACAGAGGATAAGAATGATTCAGCTCATTACATTAGCAATAGTTTCAATTTAAGCCTTTGGTGGAGAAACTCTCTTCACTGCAATGACTTCTAGAGATACAAAGTCAGAGGGAAAATAGTTTTAATTTTGAATAGTTTTAATTTCGTTTTTTAAAATAAAAGAGATAATGTTATAACACAGTTTCCCAAATTCCAATCATTTGCACACTAGTGTCAAGATTTCTGCTGTATTTGTGTATCAGCTATTAATTTCTTTAGTTAAATTTATATTTATTGTTTTAAAATATTTAAAGGAAGCTTTATATCACTACCTTATCACTATCTAGTGATAGTCAAACTTTAAATAAATAGAAAATAACTATAAAAATAAATGCAATGAACAAAAGATAATCTTAGGGAGACAGCATCGCAGGGAAAAGCTCTGAAACTGAAGCCTGATCTGCTCCTCATTGCAAAGGAACATTGGCAACTATTCGGCAAGTGTTAAAGTCCTAGTAGTTTCCAACTAATCTTTCTTCTGAAAATAATCAGAAGGATTGAAGGAGAACCTGCATGGAAGTAATTTTCTCATTAAATGATTCAGTGCCACTGAACACTGGGTTCACATCCCCCTAAACATCCTCTCGCAGACCACCGTGTTATGTGTTCCAGACACTTGGAGACATGCTGAGGTAGACAGCACAGTAAGTCAGGGGAATATGAATGGGTTATGTGTGGAGAGAAGGACGGGAAGCAGCTTTCAGGGCTGCATCTGACATTTTTCATTCATTCATCTACTCATATGTATTAAACATGTCCCATGGGTCAGTTATTTGTGCTGAGTGCTGGGGATTCAATAATGGTATCATTCTCACTACAAAGAGAAAGTAAAAGAAAGTGAAGGCAATTAAATAAGAAAACTATAAGGTACCATAAGTATTATAATAGAGGACCCACTAGATACTAAATGCTAGAGTAACAGGGACAGAGTTCATCTTCAAGTCTCAATAGGGCATCTGTTCTTTCAGGGTTTCTAGAAGGCTTAGTGTCCACATGGGCTGTCATTGATTTCTCATTTCCTTTGGTGAGCACCAGTTGGAAAACAGCTATCACATAAGCAATGGAAACCTAGAAGGTAGTTGAAGAAAGAAGGATGCCGGAGGGAAGTGTGCTGTGATGTGGACAGAATACAGTGAGAGTCAGGGAGAACATTAGAGACTGGTCTAATCTCTCCTTTTGTAGGAAACAGAAGCCTATGATTTATTAGCGTTAGAGGCTAAATTGGGATTTAAATAGGATCTTCTGAAACCTAATCTAATATCCTTTGTACTTTACCACATATGTAAGAAGGGAATCTTGAGAGTCAAACACATTGACTTTTTTTTTTTTTCCAAAAAGGTAAAAGGGTAATCTAGAGCATTCTCAATAATTAAGTACCAAAAGAGAGAAAAAAATGAAAATACAATTTCTTATGTGGTAGACAGTGTAATTAAACCACAGTATGACCCATATTAGGAGATTTTTATTCAGAAACATGTATGGCCAGACTAGCATGAACACATGAATGGCTTACTATGGTTATCGAAACAGCTTTAAAGCTGATCAGTACAAAGGGTTTTCTTTACAGGGATACAGTTTTACCCTGCAGGGAAAGTTTATTGTTTATCTCCTATGCTCTTTGGCACCACTTCATTGAGACTTTCTTTAAACTTGGAGAAAGGAGGCAAGGGAAAGCCCTGGAATAATTTCCAGCCATTCCCAGCCTTTGTAGATAGGTAGTTTATTTTATTGCTTTTCCCCTCACCCAATATTTAGGTGGTTTTAGAACTAAGTATTAGGGAACTTATGGCATTCTCCATTTTCCGAGGCTGATAATCACTGAAGCACACTGGTTAAGGAGAAAAGCCAAAAGCACTATTTTCTGAACTTCACCCATCGAATATCAGCAGGATTACCTTGGGGCATGGAACTTGGGGATGGGGGACAGTAGTTTTTGTCAAATAAGTGTGTTTCTCTATGGGACTCTGGTCACTCTGGTTGTGTATCATTATTTCAGCAGTATTACCTTTGTATTCCTTCCTGTTCTGAACTATACTGTTTCATATTTTAAACTTATTAGGAACTAACCCTTTCCATAACCAATGACACATTTTATTGAAGCATCTTGTTCAAGTAATTCAGTTGTATCAAATATTTCCCTGAAGAATCCAAAGATGTCACCTTGAAAGTGAAAAATATACAGTATCTTGAAATTGAGTCATTTAAGTGGTCGGCGCAGCTAACAATTATGTGCTAAGCTAATCACTTTGATCCTTCCATGAGAACGACGATGAATAAAATATATATACCTGTGAAGTTTGAGAGTGACAGTTCCGTAAACAGTAGCAAAACCGAGAAGACGGACCCATCTTAGCAGAATACAGCGAAATGTGCTTGGCTCAAAGTACAAAATAACAACCTGTGGGATGAAAACAGAAAGAGACCTTCAGGATCAACTGATGACCCACAGACCCAAGTCAATATCTCATAACCTGATGTTTCATATATATGAATTTTGATATAAGCATATACCCATCAGAATAATTATTTAAAATACTATTTTGACCATTTATTGTCCAGACCAAAGAAATACAGAGTCTCCCTACTGCTTATTAAATAAAATCTAAATTCTTAAAATCTAACTTCTAGAAGTTTCCATCAACTGTCTCTAAGTCTTCGGTGTATGTCCAAACTTACCTCTCTTTATTGTCCAAAATGAGCAAGCAAGGATAGTACCGTTGCCATTCTCCCCCAGAGCCCCTTGTTCCCACCTTCACACTTCTGGCAATCCCTTTCCCCCGTCTGAAACAGCCCTGAGACTGCTATGTTGTACTGCATCTTGCAAACAATCTACCACTTCATATTTACTACTTGGCTCAATTACCTCACTAATTCCATACTCTCTCACTCCAGAGTTTTCGTTCAACAAATATTAATTAAGCATTTACCACGAGCCACGCACTGTGCTGGGTGCTGCCGATACAAGATACAAAGGCCAGGAAGAGGGCGAAAAGAGACATGGAAATAGGAAATTGCATTCAAGTAACGTAAGTACTGTGATAAATATTTCTGCAATTTCAGTGGGACCACAAAGAAATGAGCGGCCAATTCCAGCGAAGAGTGAACAGATACGTGCAAGACACTCTACTACTTTTCATATGCTACTGGGCAGTTTTGAGTGAGTCCTTGTAGAATAAGAATTGGTTTGACCCTGTCTAAGAAACCTTGCAGTGTTAAAGGATTAATACTATTGAAGAGCACAGACTCAATCTTCGCTGAAGCAGCTGCTGAACTGTTTCTGCTGAAAGCGAGGTCATAACAGAAAATATGCCCACTGCCAAAACCCTGAGTATGACTTTTGTTTTTTCCTGCCAGAGATGTGCATGTTGCTGGGGGTCACAGGGTAGGTACTGACATTTTCTTGCTGATATTTTATAAATATAGCCTCTCTCTCTAGCACTGCCAAGAATGAATTACCTAAACTCTCCTGGCATTTCTCAAGTATTTCTATTACACAAAAATAAAACGTTCTCAAGGAATGGAGAAAATATGGACAAAAGTGTTAAGGAGAAATTAAAGAAAGGTATAAAATAGGTGTAAACAGGAGATAATGTGGTTTTGCATGCTCCTGAAGTCAGGCAAAAATATTCAACTTTATTATTTCACATACACAGAATTTGTCCTTAGTTTTCCAATTTGCTAGGTCTATGTGAAGATACAAATATTTTCCTTCAGGATTTAATCTACCAGAAAAAGGTCTAGATTCAGAAAAAAAAAAAAAGAAGGAAATAAAAACCTGTTCTTTTACTATTTTCACAGAACAAGTTAAAATTCTATAAATTTGTATTCCAAGTTTGAGCTCGTGTATTTTAGACATATTTCCTTTGCATAGTAGTTCGATAGGAATAACAAGTTCTGCAAAGCAAGCTTTATGGTTTACTAAGGACTTGAAGCTAAAAGGAGGAGGAAAAACTTAGGGGAGAAAGACAAGTTGGAGAATCCTTGACAGAAGATTAAAGCATGTGGGGAGCATATCTGCTCCTTCTCATGGTAGAGAGAATGATAGATCAGAGACTACACACACGGGTCTGAAGTCTGGAATATGTAAAATCTCAAATATTTCTGCTAGAAATGGCCATAGAAATTCTTCTGGAACAGTGGATTCTTGGGGGCTGCGAAATCCTATCAGTAAAGCTTTTCATTATCCACCAAGCTTTCTTTAGGTAATGAATGAGCAAAGGTGAACAACTGTAATATAGAAGTCTACATAATTTTTACTTAAAAATACTTACTTTTGAGCTGTTTGGGAACTACTGATGTACCTTCAAACTTTTTATTTCACAGATAAAGAAGTTTAGGACTTGTTAGTATAAGTGAAAGATCGGGTTGGCCAGAAATACATGAAATAACAATATTTTTTAGCATCCATGGTGGAGGTATAAGTTTAAAAATAAACAATGAAATTCTAGTAAACTAACAAGTGTTATTAAAAATAGTTCAGCAAATAGTGGACTGTAACTGTTAGTGTGCATGTGCCACAGGCAATGCTGGTGGTGTGAGAGAGAACAAGCTTTGAATCCAGGCTCCCCAGGTTCCAATTCTGGCTCTACTCTTTCTTAGTTGTGGGTTTCCACAATTTATTTAACATTGCGTTGCTATACTTCAGTTGTCCCATTTGTAAAATGGGCATGGCAACAAAAATACTTCATCTTGGAAATATATCAAAGCTTAAGTGTGATAGTGTATGGTAAGCAGTCAGAGTGCCCAGTACAGTGAGTATTCAATAAGTATTGGCTAATATTATTAGGATAGTTGATTTATTTATGCTTTGTTCTGAAAGTTATTCTCATTGCAGCACAACTATATCTTATCTCAACAAATTCGTTTCTGATCACCCCAGCCACCCCTTCTTTTGAATTCCTACCATGACTTTTATAGACTTTATGCTTCTTCTACTGCATCTTATATTGTAGTTATCTGTATGGTTGCCTCTCTGAATTATTGTAAAATTGAAGAAGGGCCTGTTCCGCAGTGTATTCTGTGTTCTTTACAAACCAAAAGTTTATGCATATTAAATATTTGCTCAATGATTTATTTTAGTAAAGGGAAAATGTTACCTTCAAAATAAACTATTTGAAAACTGATTAGGGCTTCCTAATCATTGGTATCCTAATTCACATATTCAATATTTATTTACTCTGCGTGAGGCAGTAAGGGATCTGGAAGTCATAAAACATGTCAGATGTGGATTAGGTCCTTCAAAAAAATTATAATTTCATGGAGTGAATATTACATGTAAGTGATAAATATGATTTCTAAATATTTAGGCAACACTATATGCTAGACACTAAATTAAGCATTTTTGCATACATTTACTCATTTAATCCTCACAATACCTTAGAAAGACGAGACTTTGATTTTACTGGAGGGAAATAGGGCAAAGATAATTTAAGTGATGTGCTCAGGGTTACACAGGTAGGGACTGTCAGAGCCAGGATCTGAATCCAGGTAGTTTGGTTCCAGAGTTCGTGCTCTTAAGAACTGTAAGAACAATGATGTCACCCTGCCTCTGAACTGGCTCTACTGTGTGGGGGAGGTGATGAACGCCATCACCCTGTGAATTGCATTATAATGAGGATTTCAGAGGAAAGGGAAATTACTGGCAGTGGAAACAAGTGAAATTATCCTGGAAGGGCTGACAAGTGAGCAAGAACGGAAGGAGGAACAGGTTTCAGTGTTCATTCAGGCAGAGAGGAAAGAGGGGGAGGGAGCCGAGGACAAAAAGATATTGTGGGAAAGTTCCGGAGTGTGTGGAGTGTATAGTTACAACCAGGAAGACAAGAGGAATCATGTAAAGAAAGCTTTAAAACAGAGATGGAGCCAGATCATTGTAAGCTTTGAATAACAGGGTGGAAAATGCAGATTGTATTCCAGGAGCAGTATACATGGCATTAAAGCTCTCTGAGTTGAGGTCAGCAGTGTGTGCACCAGGGAGCCAATCTGGCTACAGCACGGAACAGCATAGGTTGGGCTATGGAAAGGGGAGAGACTGAAGGTGAGAGGACCAGCTGGAAGAAAAAAAGAAAAACCAAGTTTATCTTCCCCACCGAGCGTTTTCCTATTTCTTATTCCAGTGTCCGTCATTTCAATTCCCAAATGGCAACTGATGGGATGTTTCTCATCACCTCACTGCCCTGCTTAAACCTTTCTGTGGCTCTCAATACTCTTAGGAAATAGTCAAAATTACTTAAGATGGTTAGCAAGAGCCTTCACACTTGGAGCTAGCTGATCCCTACAACATCATTACTTCCACTCACCTGATCCCTGCGGTCCTTGCATTTGCTGTCTCTTCTGGCTGGATGTTCCTTACACAACCCCCATCTCACTTGCACCTGGCTTTCTTCTGTTCACCCCTTCAAGCCTCAGCCCAAATATCCCTTCCTCTAGGAAGAACATGCCTCCCCTGTGGCTTAGCACACTGTCCCTATTTGTTAATTGTGTCTTCCTTCAGGTAGGTTGCAGGCTCTGTGACGACCACGGGTTTTCTCATTCACTTCTGTGACACTGGCACTAGCAGCGTCCTGGCACACAGGAAGTGCTCAGTAAATATTTCTTGGATGAAAGGAAAAATAAAGCTTTGGGGCAAAGGCAAAGAAGGATGTAACTAATATGGTGAGAGGGAGAATTCATTCATTCATGGGGACACAGGAAAGAAGATGCCAAATCAAGAAAAGTGGGCAACCTGTTACTTGTTGAGGCAAAAGAGAATACAGTGTCAAACGTAATGTAAGATTTTAAGCTTGAGTGACCTGGAGGATGCTTGTACTTGAAATGAAACAGCAAAAAGAAAAGGATGCATAAGTCTGCAGAAGACATTTCGAAGTCTGATTGATTGCCTTGCTTCTTTGGATACTGAACACAGCTAATGGGGATGAACAACAGAATCACAAAGGAGAAGACTATTAGGCTTCTCAAATATGCACAAAATAAAAGAATGCTTTACAATAGAATAATTTTTTTGCACGTATAGACACACTACTAGAGACTCATAAATCTCCACAGTATCTGCTCAGTAGACATAATGCCTAGTGCTTTTAAGAGAGATGCTAACAAGAGAAAGTGGTCATTCCCTGCCTCATCCTGCAGGTCTCAGCTCAGGGCGGGCATCCATGACTCTCTCCAGCATCCCTCAGACTGAGTTAGGTTTCCATCTTATTTGCATGTTATTTACTCTCATTGAATGCTGAGCTTTCCATTGTTGCATTCATCAGCTCTACTTGGAAATAATTCTTTCTGTAATTCATTTGTTTAATGTATCTTCCTAGTTTATAAGTTGTATGAGGGCAATGATTGTAACTAATTCTTGATTGCACATACATTCCCTAAGATAGTAACCTGACAATAAGAGATAATCAGTAC